GGGGCCTTTCACATCGGAAGACTGAGCTGGAGCAGGAGGCTTTCCAACTGGTAGAGCTGGAGACTTTTCTTCACTTTGACCATTATTTTGATCTGGAGATGGCTCAGTCTTCTTGCCCTGGTTCTGTGCTCCCTCACTTTTCTTGCCTTGGTTCTGTGCTCCCTCAGATTTCTTGCCTTGGTTCTGTGCTCCCTCAGATTTCTTGCCTTGGTTGGGAGTTCCTTCAGTTTTCTTGCCTTGGTTTGAAGTTCCTTCAGCTTCCTTGTCAGACTCTTTTTCATCATCTTTCTTTTCTGGTGGACACTCCTGACCTTCCAAAATTGTTTTAAGCTTGTGTAAACCATCACTGGGTTTACGAAGCTCATTAATTACACTACGCCAATTATCATTCAGAATTGTACGCGGAGTCATCCCACTACCGAAGTTATATCTGTCAAATGTAAAGCCATATGGGAAGAGATTTTTGGTGAAATAGTCTGCAGTATTTTTCATTGTAGTTTCATCTATTTTAATCTTCACCAAATTAGTCTTCACCGTCGCCAAATTATCTCTCAACCATTTTGCAGTTTCCTTTGCAAATTCTTCTTCCTTAAGGTCTTTCACCTCCCTACCGAAGCCAGTAAAGGAAAAACGTTGACTAGTGAAAATTTTGCTAAATTGCTTTTGGAGCTCAGCGCAATGTTCTTTTAAATTATTCCAACAAATGCGTTTGTCTTCATGGAAATGCTCATTTAATTTAGATATCAACTGTCCGCCGCCAGTACCTTTCTTTGCCTCTTCAGCCACAATCCCACAAAACGTTCTCACCAACGCCAGGGCGTTGGCTGTATTTGACTCCTGGGCGCCGGATGTTGGGAGCAACACTGAGGTGGAAAAAACATCGCGAAAATACTGGCCATCACGTTTTTCACAAATTTGTTCAAGGTGATTTGCCATGTCACTACCTTGGCGGTAGCCATACCGACCACCTTTCAACTCGTTGTAACTGAATCCTCCAGGGATTACGCCATACTCTTTAGAACCTAATGGTGCAGTGAGATATTTCTCTAGCTGACGGGCCATTATTCTACTAGTCCCAACCGGTTCGTAATTCTGCCACCCACCTCCATCAAGTTTTGAGAAGCCGGGATCCACATTATACCTCAAAAAGTACATCGCGGCTAAGAACTTGGGAATGCATTCTAAAAGAGCATCTAGTACAGCATTAGGGTTACTGCCGATCTGTTTCTGATTTGCCTTGTTGCATAATTTATTATGAAACTTGGACACATTAGTGAGGAATTGGGACAGTGCTTGCTGAATTTGCTGGTGATCAACATTGTTATACTTGCCTGTAAGACGGTTAGACAGTTGAGTGGCCACTTTGGTTTTCACACCATTCTTCTTATCTTTATGAAGCCACTCCAGGAACTGCAGACACTCCTTTAGGGTGTCAAGCTTAATTGCAGTCGCCATCTTGCTTACGAAGGCACTCAGCACAGAGACACTAACAAATAAACACTAAGCTAATGGTAGAGAAGCACATTTAAATGATGAACAAGGAGACACTAGAGTCATAAAACCTCTGAGGTGACGTCACTGCTTCCGGATAACCAAGACACTCCCAAGTTGCTGGCAACGCTTTTAATTGCGGTGTTAATAGGTGCCTCAGTGAAGCTTTTAGTAGCGATTAGTGAGTTATTTTATAGGCGCAAGATGGGCGTGGTATGAGGCATCCGCAGTCGCAATCCACCGACAAGGTGGGACGGAGGGGGCTTCTTTGGGAGTGACGGCAAGGCGACAGAGGGAGGAGGGAGATGACAAAGCAGCGAGTAGGTTACATCATAGGTTAGGTGATAGGTTACCTGTTAGGTAAGACGTTTGGTTAGGTGGCAAGTTTGGTGTGGCTGCCGTTAAGCATAACCTAAACCTAAACCTTGAAATTGAAGGTGACGCCGGTAGTACTTCTACGTCGAATGTGAGTTTGCTACTGGATGGCTAAGTGGACTGAATGATGCTACTGGTGTCATGTCGTGGAGGTGGCCGGACAGCTGCGGAGAGCAACATGTGCAGTGTTACTGGAGTCGGGGAGTAAAGGGATGGTATGGAGATGAAGGATGCGGGTACAATGACGCCGCGTAATTACAGCAATATGAGAATTGTATGAAACCATGTTGTAAGGAATAGTAATTCAATCAATATCCAATGCTAATTGATGTAATCACGCAGCGTATTAATGTTCGCCATTTGAGGAGATAGGTGACGAGGCAAACGATGAGTGCAGCTATGAGGGCAGTGACTACTGTATTACCGGCCGCCACAATGTGGTCATAGATGCCGCTTGACTAGGCTGTACAATGGCCGTCACAACGACTTCACTGCCTGCGAACGCACATGGTAACGGACGTGTGAGACACTCGCCCGGCACAGCGGTGGGGAGATAGCAAGCAGTCATCTTGACGGTACACTGAGATTAAGCAACGGCGTGGACACGTTCACGGGTGGCGTGTGAAACAACGAATATACCAACGCATCTAGTAAATTGTGGGTTAGGTGGTAGGTTACATCTTAGGTTATGTGCTTGGTTACGTGCTAGGTGAGCCACTTGCTTAGGCAGTGACTTAGGTGCTCGGCAAGGCACGAGACACAGTCACAAGGAAAGACGTGACATGACATGGCAACACGAGGAATGTAAATGTAGCTACGATAATTACTGTCATGAGTGAAGGTCATCGTCGAAGTAGTCGACGTCTTTGTAGAGTGAGAGCATCCTGCGGCTGCCGGCGAGCAGCGCCTTGACGTCGATGAGGTGGGAGGCCCTGGTGGTGAGAAGGTGGGAGCGGATGTGCAGGACGTCCATGCGGTAGCATAGCGAGTGGGCGATGTAGAGCGTGGCGGTGAGCCAGAGTGTGACGAGGCAGAAGAGGAAGGGCATACGGATGGTGTAGAGCAGTTGGTCGATCTGGTGGAACAGCTGAGTGAAGGGTGGAGGGTGCCTTGGTGAGTTGGTCGTTGAGGTCACTGCACCGCATCTTCTGGCTGCCGGCGAGCAGGGCGTGGGCGTTGCGATACGTGAATCCGTAGCGGTAGAGTGTCGGCAGAGGTCCGCCACATTCGACGAGTGACGGGCAGTGGCAGGAGTCCTTGTCGTTGTGGTTGCTTGGCTGACAGAGGCACGGCACAGCCGTACGGCCGAAAATGATCGATGTTGTTCAGCGTCCAGCAGGACTCCAGTCCACAGCTGCCATGCCAGCCACACTATCCACGAGACAGCTGTGCGTGCTTCTGCGGGAAGGTGGCGCGTGCCGCAGCAGCTGGAGGAAGGGGCGCATCCACTGGGTGATTGACAAGGCGGCTCGGCGGAGAGGCTTGAGAGGGCATTGTGCCCTGAGTTGTCATGGTCGTGCCCGGCGAGTGCCTTGAGCGCGTCGGTGAGATTGCTGTTCTGGTAACTGCCGTGGAGCTGTGTCCACAGAGGGAACAGCTTGTCGATGGCCTCATCGCTCAGGTGCGTTTGGTAACTCTCATGGTGAGAGTACGCACGCCGGGACGATTCGTGATCCCACACTCTGAGCATTTGGAAGAACAGCGCGAACACGTCGCCGAGTGACTGCGGTGCTGAGGGGCACAGCAAGCGCAGCGTTCGGCTGGTGTCAGGCGTCACCGCAGAGACGGCCGAGTGACTGGCAAGATCCTGCCGGGCTACTGAGGCAGCGAGGCCAAGGTCCCAGAAGCCGAGCGGGGTGAGGCACTGCTGACCCGGTTGGTTGGAGGGGCAGTTGGCGCATTCGATGGCATTGTCAACTACACTGAGCTTATGCGGCAGGAGGCTGGGACAGCTGTCTGTGAGGAACGACTGCAGCGGAGATGTGGGCGGGCAGTTGTGACTTGCGTCGGTGGCCTGGTTGTCGTAGGTGTTACACTGCCAGTGGGAGGACGGCACCTGCCGACCGTAGTGGCACTCCCGCCAGCCCTTGGTTGTGGCGGTGGCACGGCAGCACTGGGCGTAGAGGAAATACAGGACGCGACACAGGCGGCATACTATGCCCCTCAACATATCCAGCACCTCGGCGGGGTCGTCCGGGTAGTACAGCTGTGCGGTGTTGTTGGCGAAGTCGACGGAGTAGGGGTAGGCGGCGAGGTCAAAGCCGCGGCCGTGGCCCTGTATGGTTACGAGCAATGAGTTGGCGTACGAACACGCTTCTGCGATAGTGAACGGCAGGCCATTTATGCACTGCACCATGACTTTATCCTCCCTGTTGGGGGCATCGTTATCGTCGCACTTGCGGTTGAGCAACGCCCTGCAGTGGTCAGGCAGTTTGTCCGCCACCGGAGTGTACTGCAGGCCTGTAAGCCACGACAACATGTCCCTCACCGTGCAGGGGTACCTGGGCGATTCGTGCACCTTAAGGTGGCATGCCTGGAGGTAGCGACAGACCATGTTATAGAAAAGCGCAACTAAGTCGACAACATTAATTCCGTTTTCCGCAGGCTTGCCGTCGATAAGCATTTTGGTGGTCACTTCGGCCACTGGGGATGCAAGTAGCTCATGAACTGCGCCGCCCGAAAAACGATTTTGCAACTCCCCCTCCTGGAGTCCGTCGGTGGGTGACACCTTGAAGCCGCATTTAGTGAGGTAGTTGCCCAGGCCGTTGTCCCTGTCGTCGCCGGTGAGCTTGCATATTTTGTTGCTCTTCCAGTTGGTGCCGCATTTGGCTACCAGGTTGCTAAGCGCCTCGTGCGTCATCGGGATCATGCTAAGCAACACCTTGGCGTACTTGTCGGCGTCAGCCTCCCGGCACTCCGCGCCCGAGTAAGTGGAGATGTACGCACCGCCGAACTCACCGGCGAAGGCACTGAGTCCCCTGCTCACGGAGTCCAGCGTGGGAGTGGAGGGCTTCTGGAAGGATTGTGGAGTCAGCTGTGTGAGCGCGTCGGTGAGGTTGTGGAGCAGGCCTCGCAGCCTGTCGTCGAAGCCCTGCGTCACGCAGAGGTAACTGAGCAGGGGTTGACATCGCTGTGCACGGCGTCCCACTCGGCGGCGTAGGGCTCTTCCGACTTCGGCAGTGAGGGATTCTTTTCGTCGTCACTCTGCTTCTTCACTCTCTCAATCTCCTCACGGAGATACTCGTGGAGCGGCGCGAAGAAATTCTGGAACGCGGAGGACAATGCTCGGAGCATTCTGCTCTGCACGTTCCTTAGCCTATTAATGTTTTCGCTGCGCTCACCCTCCATCTGCTTCATGAGGCCCTTGTAGCCTATCGTCAGGTCCTCGTCGATCTCCTTGGGCAGAGTCTCCAGCTCGCTCTCCGCCTTTAGGGCGAAGTGTTTCAGCGCGTCCTTCGCGGACTCCACGTAGTCCCGCCGCGCCTCCTTGGTGAGCTCCGCGATTGCCTTTTCAATCTCACTGTCTACGAAGCGTTCAATGTTTTCCACTTTCTCCCATTTTATGTAATCGGCGTTGGTGAGGAACTTGTCGCACATGGCGATGGCCGCCTGGAGGTCACCGGTGCGGAGGGTGTGGATGTCACTCTTGATTTTTGCGAGGTCTTTGTCGATGTTATTTTCTTTGAAAAGCCCCAACTTCCAATCCACACTACCGGCTTCGCTCGCAATCTTGGCGCACAGCTCATTGAGATGTTCACTGACCTTGGGGACTGTATCCCTGTTGAGATCTTCAATCTCTTTCTTGATTTTCTCAAGACCTTCATTTTTGCCTTGGCCAATCTTCTTAATCACAAATTCCATATTCTTGATCACGCCTCTTTCATCTGCTGAATTGCCTGGCTCACCCTGCAACTCCTTCCTCAGCTCTGTAAGCTCATCGGTGATTTGGGTGACGCCATCTTGGATTTTCTGTGGTTGACCAGTCAACTCACTTTGTTGCTTTTCAAGTGCTATTTTAATATTGTCTAATCCCTTAACATCCTTATTGTCATCATTCCAACTTGCCCCGTTACTCAGCCCTTTGGTCATCATGTTGGTCAGCTTCTCGATGACCTCACTGCCCAGCGTGCTCCTCTGCTCGTTGAGTGCTTCCTTGATTGCTGAGTTGGCTGCCTGAATTTCGTAGGGTTTGTGGGTGAATGTACTGATTTGTTGCCAATGAATTTCATCGTAGATTTTCTTTAGATTGACACCATAATTTTGGGCGTCCGCTGTGCCAAGCTTCCTTTGCAACTGAATCAATTTGTCCAAAACGTCATCGTAGTCGAAGGGCTTATTCAACTTTATTCCTAACTGAAACAGTTGATCCCTGATTGCGCTGATGGCGTTAGTGATTATTTCAGGCTGTTTGCCCAATTCAGTATTCTGCTCCTGAATTCCCTGCTGGATTTTCGTCAGACCCTGAGTGCCTTTCCAACCATTTTTACCTTCGACACCGGCAGTCTTCAAATCATCCAACACGTCAATAACACCATCTTTTGTCCCACCATTTTGCTCTTTCTTCAACTTCTCCCTGAGCCCTTTGAGCTGCGTCTTAATTGTCTGGACGGCGTCTCCGATGTGCTTAGTTTTGTCATCATACGTGTCTGCTTTCAGCGTTTCAATCGCCTCCCTGATTGCATCAAGGCCTTTGACACTTTCCACAATTAAACCTTTGTCTTTAAGATCAACACTTTCTTCCTCCTTAAGCATCTGCGTCAAATCCTCCAACCGCTGCTTGATGCCATCTTCATCTTGTGGTTTGTCCGACAACCCCGTCGGCCAGTGCTTTGTATTATCAACGGACCACGCGATGGCTTGGAGTTCTTTTTCGATGTTGGTGAAGTGCTTGGTGACTGCTTCGGTGGCCTTAGAGACGTCTTTGTCATTAGGTCTTTCTTCAGCGCTGAAACCGTCCATGTCCTTGAAAGCGCTCATGGCCTGGGGGATATGTTGAGTGGTCAATTGGTGTAACTGGCCAGTGCCTCCTTTCTTCCCTTTATAATTCTTCATAATTTCTTCGAAGTCATTTTGAACATTTAGGTCATGACCAGCGTCTTGCTTCATCCCCTTGTTGACTTCCGTCTTAATCTCCTTAACTTTGTTCAAAATTTCATTGTCCTGGTTACCGGAGGTGGGAGGTTGTGGACCATTTCTCGCCTCTTTTGCAGCCTCTCCCAGATTATCGTCCAGCTCCCTTGTCTCTTTTACTACTCTGTCCAATTCTTCTGCGATGCTTCTGTTGCTGCCCACCTTTGCGCCCTCGCCGAGAAATACAGAGTTGAGCTCCTTGCCCACTTGCCGCACTGTAGAGGTGAGCGCGCACATTATCAATTCCGCGGCGGCTTTTTTGCCACACTCTCCATTTTTGCATTTTGTGCATTGTGCGTCGCACTCGCAGACGCATCTTGTAATCTTAGATACGAGTTTCCCCAATGGCAACGCTTCCTCTTTAACCTTATTGACTATTTTATTTCCCTGCTGCAAAAGTTCCTTATCGAGCGCGTTGGCAAACGCCTCACAAGCTGTTTTAACGGCGTTGATATTTGTATGAATGCTCCCGCTGACTGTATTAACACCTTCGAACGCCAATTTGGCTATACCAATAACATCTGCATTAAGCTTCTCTTTCATTCCAATGGCGAAAGCGCTGATGTCATCCTTCTCACTCTACTCATCATACGCATCCTTTTTACTGAGTATCCTCCGCACGGTGCCAGGCTCACTGGCTTCCAACCAGCCCTTGGCAATTTCTGCAAAATTATTGTTGCGAAAAGCAGTGGCATAATTATGCACTGCCTCCTCAATTCCCAAAAGACCTGAGGCGCCTGAATTTCCCCAATCACCCCTATCCTTCCCCTTAATCTGTCCCACTTGCCCCTTAATCTGCAAAAGCATTTCACCAACATGCTTTTTCATACTGTTCACAATATCCTTTTGCAGCCTCCGCAAATCATCTTTCATGCCGGCTTCCAAATCTTTAACGGCCTCAGTAACTTTACTTACTAAACCAGTAACATTCCCATGCGCCTGGCTGTAGGCAGTCAAAAGGTTCTCAGCTTTTCTTTCAACTTGCTAGCATTCTCACCAATAACCGTTTGACCGTTGTCCTTAAGAACTCTATCCAAAATTTCTTGAGATTTATGCTGCGCCTTGGAAACAATCTGTTGCGCCGCCTTGTGCCAACTCCCTAAAGCCGTGACTTCAGTGGCGAGAGTGTTATTTGCTTTTAATTAAGTTGTTGTGTGTGCTAATTTGCTGTATATTATACCCAACAGGATGGCCTACAGCGTCACTTTTTTGATCAGTATCTAACGCATCATGCACTTCCGTCGCCTTTTTTACCGCTTCGTCAAGCACTGTCCCGGCCTCAGACTTCCACTCCCCCAGATTTTTACTAACACCCTGCATACTTTTATGAACTTCGTTAATTTTCTTATTCGCTGTCACAATCTCTCCGATTTGCTTACTCAAAGCTTCATGAGGTTCCAACTTATCATAGGCTTCCTTGGCCTTTCTCTCAGCCTTTGCACGGATATCCTCGGCGGTGTCGATCCAAGAATGCAGACTGTCGACTTGTGTTTTCAGTTGTGAATTTGCGCTAATAATGTTGTTTTTTGCGTCTTCAATTTCTCCGATTTTACCACCAAGCGTCGACTTACTTTTATCAGGATCCAACTTGCCATGGACTTCCGTCGCCTTCTTAACCGCTGTGCCAAGGACGTCACTTGCCGCATTTTTCCAGTTACCTAAATCACTGTGAATACGTTTCAACTGACCATCAACTTGCTTAACTTTGTCTTTAGCTTCCTCAATTTTACCAATCCCCTGACCAATCACGGTCCCTGAAGCATCGTTTTTATTATGATCCAACCTCCCATGTACATCCTCCGCCTTCTCCTTAGCCGCCTGAACGGCGGTATCCGCTTTATGAATCCACCGACAAGGTGGGATGAGGAGGCTGTTCTGGGAGTGACGGCAAGGCGACAAAGGGAGGAGGGAGATGGCAAAGCAGCGAGTAGGTTACATCTTTGGTTATGTGCTAGGTGAGGCGTTTGGTTAAGTACTAGGTAAGCCATTTGGTTAGGTGCTAGGTAAGCCATTTGGTTAGGTGCTAGGTTACATCTTAGGTTGAACATTTGGTTATGCAGTTTCGTCATGTGCTAGGCAAGGCACGAGGTACAGTCAGCATGAAATACATAAGATGGCAACACAAAGAGAGGAATGTAAATGTATATGTAGCTGAGATAATTACTGTCACGAGTGAAAGTCGTCGTCGAAGTAGTCTACGTCACTGTAGAGTGAGAGCATCCTGCGGCTGCCGGCGAGCAAAGCCTTGACGTCGATGAGGTGTGAGGCCCTGGTGGTGAGAAGGTGGGAGCGGATGTGCAGGACGTCCATGCGGTAGCATAGCGAGTGGGCGATGTAGAGCGTGGCGGTGAGCCAGAGTGTGACGAGGCAGAAGAGGAAGGGCATACGGATGGTGTAGAGCAGTTGGTCGATCTGGTGGAACAGTTGAGTGAAGTGGTCGGAGTGGAGTGCCTTGGTGAGTTGGTCGTTGAGGTCACTGCACCGTATCTTCTGGCTGCCGGCGAGCAGGGCGTGGGCGTTGCGATACGTGAATCCGTAGCGGTAGAGTGTCGGCAGAGGTCCGCCACATTCGACGAGTGACGGGCAGTGGCAGGAGTCCTTGTCGTTGTGGTTGCTTGGCTGACAGAGGCACGTGGCACAGCCGTGGGCCGTGCAGTCGATGTTGTTCAAGGCGTCCAGCAGGGACTCCAGCAGCTCCCACAGCTGCCATGCCAGCCACACTATCCACGAGACATACAGCTGTGCGTGCTTCTGCGGGAAGGTGTGGTTGGCGTGCAGCGCCAGCGGCTGGAGGAAGGGGGCGCATCCACTGGGTGATTGACAAGGAGGCTCGGCGGAGAGACATGAGAGGGCATTGTGCCCTGAGTTGTCATGGTCGTGCCCGGCGAGTGCCTTGAGCGCGTCGGTGAGATTGGCACGGTAACTGCCGTGGAGCTGCGGCCACAGAGGGAAGAGACTGTTTATAGCATCACCGTTCAGATGCGTTAGGTAACTCTCATGGTGAGAGTACGCACGCCGGGACGATTCGTGGTTCCACATTCTGAGCATTTGGAAGAACAGCGCGAACACGTCGCCGAGTGACTGCGGTGCTGAGGGGCACAGCAAGCGCAGCGTTCGGCAGAGTTGGAAGAGGCAGGCGTCGGCGTCACTGCAGAGACGGCCGAGTGACTTCGCAAGTTCCTTGCCGGTACGCGCTACTGAGGCAGCGAGGCCAAGGTCCCAGAAGCCGAGCGGGGTGAGGCACTGCTGGCCTGGTTGATTGCCGGGGCAGTCGACGCATTCGATGGCATTGTCAGTAGCGGTAAGCTTATGCGGCAGGAGGCTGGGACAGCTGTCTGTGAGGAACGACTGCAGCGGAGATGTGGGCGGGCAGTTGTGACTTGCGTCGGTGGCCTGCTTGTTTAATTACACATTGCCAGTGGGAGGACGGCACCTGCCGGCCGTAGTGGCACTCCCGCCAGCCCTTGGTTGTGGCGGTGGCACGGCAGCACTGAGCATACAGAAAGTAGAGCACTGAGCACAGGCGGCATACTATGCCCCTCAACATATCCAGCACCTCGGCGGGGTCGTCCGGGTAGTACAGCTGTGCGGTGTTGTTGGCGAAGTCGACGGAGTAGGGGTAGGCGGCGAGGTCAAAGCCGCGGCCGTGGCCCTGGATTGCGATGAGCAGCAAGTCGGCGTGTGAACACGCTTCTGCGATAGTGTAGGGCAGGCCATTTATGCACTGTGCCATGACAGCGTCGTCCCTGTTGGGGGCATCGTTATCGTCGCACTTGCGGTTGAGCAACGCCCTGCAGTGGTCAGGCAGTTTGTCCGCCACCGGAGTGTACTGCAGGCCTGAGAGCCAAGACAACATGTCCCTCACCGTGCAGGGGTACCTGGGCGATTCGTGTACTTTAAGGTGGCAGACCTGGAGGTAGCGACAAAGCATGTTATGAAGAAGACCAATTAAGTCAACGACATTAATTCCGTTTTCCGCAGGCTTGCCGTCGATCAGCATTTTGACGGCCACGTCGAGAATTGGTGATTTAAGCAAAGCATGAATTTGCTCACCGTTCATGTCGCCGTGGTTTTGCAATTCCCCCACCTGGAGTCCGTCGGTGGGTGACACCTTGAAGCCGCATTTGGTGAGGTAGTTGCCCAGGCCGTTGTCCCTGTCGTCGCCGGTGAGCTTGCATATTTTGTTGCTCTTCCAGTTGGTGCCGCATTTGTCTGCCAAATTGGTAAGCGCCTCGTGCGTCATCGGGATCAAGCTCAGCAACACCTTGGCGTACTTGTCGGCGTCAGCCTCCCGGCACTCCGCGCCCGAGTAAGTGGAGATGTACGCACCGCCGAACTCACCGGCGAAGGCACTGAGTCCCCTGCTCACGGAGCCCAGCGTGGGAGTGGAGGGCTTCTGGAAGCCCTGCGGCCTCAGCTGTGTGAGCGCGTCGGTGAGGTTGTGGAGCAGGCCTCGCAGCCTGTCGTCGAAGCCCTGCGTCACGCAGAGGTAATTGAGCAGGGCGTTGACATCGCTGTGCACGGCGTCCCACTCGGCGGCGTAGGGCTCTTCCGACTTCGGCAGTGAGGGATTCTTTTCGTCGTCGCGCTCCTTCTTTTCCCTTTGGATCTCCCTGCGGAGATACTCGTCGAGCGGCGCGAAGAAATTCTGGAACGCGGAGGACAATGCTCGGAGCATTCTGCTCTGCACGTTCCTTAGCCTATTAATGTTTTCGCTGCGCTCACCCTCCATCTGCCTCATGAAGCCCTTGTAGCCCACGAAGAGATCCCTGTTTATCTCGCCGGGCAGCTCCCCCAGCTCCTCGGCCACCTTGTCGGCGAAGTGTTTCAGCGCGTCCTTCGCGGACTCCACGTAGTCACGCCGCGCCTGCTTGGTGAGCTCCGCGATTGCCTTTTCAATCTCACTGTCTACGAAGCGTTCAATGTTTTCTACTTTCTCCCATTTTATGTAATCGGCGTTGGTGAGGAACTTGTCGCACATGGCGATGGTCTTGTGAAGGTCACCGGTGCGGAGGGTGTGGATGTCACTCTTGATTTTTTCGAGGTCTTTGTCGATGTCATTCTCTTTGAAAAGCCCCAACTGCCAGTCGACACTGCCGGCTTCGCTCGCAATCTTGGCGCACAGTTCACCAAGGAATTTGTTGATGTCAGGGACTGTGTCCCTATTGAGCTCTTCAATGTCTTTCTTGATTTTCTTGAGGCAATCCTTATCGTCATCATTTGTTCCAATCTTCTCTATCATGAATTCCATATTCCTCATCACGCCTCTTTCTTTTGGCTCACCGGCATCCTTACCCTGCAACTCACTCCTCAGCTCGTCAAGCTCCGCGGTGATTTTGTCGACGCCTTGCTTTATTTCAGTGGGCTGTTTGTGCAACTCACTTTGTTGAGCGTGAAGGCCATTTTCAATATTCTCCAAGCCCTTAGCATTGTTATCATCATTCCAATCCGCATCTTCACTCATCCCTTTGTCCTTCAAATCTTCCAGTGTGTTGATGACATCTTTGTCCAGCGTGCTCCTATGCACGCCAAGTTCCACTTTAATTGCTGAGTTGGCTCCCTGGATGATTTGGGGACAATTGGTAAAATGCTCCCTTTGCAGCCATGAAATCATCTCATAAATGTCTTGAAGGTTAACGCGATCCTTGTCTCCATTTTTGCCGAGTTTCCTGCCCAGCCACTTCAACTGGTCGGTGATATCATCGGTGCTGTGTTTATGATCCAACTTGAATCTTGTGAGGTGAAGTTGCCAAGTAATTTCTCTAATGGCCTCATCGATTTCTGTTGTCTGTTTAGGCAATTCATCGTTCTGAGTCTGAAGTTGCTTCTGGATTTTTTCAAGGCCGTCTACTGTTGTAACACCATGTTGGCCACCATTCCAAATATTTGTTACATTGTACCACGAACCAGAGCCAAGACCACGGGTGTTCAACATCGTCAAAGCGTTTATCACATCATCTCCTGGCTTCAGCTTATTCATCAACTTCTCTCTAAGCTTACCAAGCTCCGCCTTAATAAGGGTGACGGCTCCGTCGATTGCAGCGGGTTTAGTGCCAAGCGTCCCTGTTTGCAGGCCGTGGATCTTGGAGTGAATTGCGGCGAGGCCTTGGACTTTTTTCTCTGTACCATCATCTAGCTTGGAGGAAATACTATGCTCACCATTCTGAGTAACCATCCCTCTCAAGTCCCCCAGGTAATCCTTGACGCCGTCTGGCTTTTGGCCTTGTGGCAGCTGCTTCTTTTCGTGCTGGACCATCCCGGCGATTTCTTGCAGTTCTCCGTCTATTGTGGAGAGATGTTTTTTAATTTCTTCTGTTTTTTGTTTTATGATTCCTTCATTCTTTCCGTTGTCGACATGAGGCGCAAAGTCCTTAAGTGCGTTGGGGATATCAGTTTTCAGCAAATTGTGATATTTATGGTCACCGACACCGTTTTCACCCTTCGCCGCTTCATAAAGTGGCATGATTTGTTTGAAGTTCTCATCAATGCTCGTCGTTTCCTTCATCGCACTTTTAACCTGCTGCTCAACCCCCTTAACTTTGTTCAAAATTTCATTGTCCTGGTTACCGGAGGTGGGAGGTTGTGGACCATTTCTCGCCTCTTTTTCCGCCTCTCCCAGATTATCGTCCAGCGTCCTAGTCAGGCTGACGACGCTGTCCAATTCGCTTGCGATGCTTTTGTCGCCCACCTTTGCACCGCCGCCTAGAAATACAGATTCAAGCTCGTTGCCGACCTGTCTCACTGTAGATGTCAGCGCGCACATTATCAATTCCGCGGCGGCTTTTTTGCCACAGTTTGGCTTTTTGCAATTATCGCACTCGCAGACGCATTTTTCAATCTTAGCGTTGAGGGATCCCTTCTGCAGCGCGACATCCTTTACATGGTTGACTGTTTGTTTTGTGCCATTATACAGTTCTTCATCAAGCGCGTTGGCAAATATCTCACAGGCTGTTTTAACAGCGGTGATATTTTGTTGAATTGTGCCGCTGACGGTATTAACATTTTGGAAAGCGTCTGTGGCTATACCAATAACATCTGTTTTAAGCCTCTTTTTCATTTCAATCGCGAACTCCTTTATATTGCTGTCTCTACTCTCATTATACTCCTGCTCCATGCCGAGTATCCTCCGCACGGTGCCGTTGTACCTCAAGATTGTGGCTTCCAACCAGCCCTTGGCAATTTCTGCAAATTTATCGTGGCGAAATTCAGTGGCATAATTACGCACCGCCTGTGCGATTCCCAGAAGACCTGAGGCACCTGAATTTTTCCAATCACCCCTATCCTTCCCCTTAATGCTCTCCACACTGCTCTTAATTTCACCAAGCATCCCGCCAACATGTGTCTTCATCTCTTCTACAATTCTATTTCTGATATTCCCCAAATCCTCTTTCATGCTGGCTTCCAAATCTTTAACGGCATTTTTAACATCCTCTACCAGATGCTGAACTTTGGGATAGGCCTCCTTGTAGGCTTCCAAAAGACTCTCAGCTTTTTTCTTCAATTCGTCAGCATGCTCTTTAATTGCAACTTGGCCTGATCCCTTCGTCTTGTCATCCACCCTCTTAAGTATCTCCTCACACTTCTGCTCCGCCTTGGTAATAACATCCTTGGCGGCCTTACTCCACTTACCTAAATTTTCAACTTCAGTTTTAAGACTCTCATTTGCTTTTTTAATTAAGCCACTAACTGAGCTAATTCCTTCAATGTGTGTCTTCAATGTCTGTCCTTTACCTGCATCAACAATGTCCAACGCATCATGAACTTGCGTCGCCTTTCCAATCGCCCCTGTAAGCACTTTCCCGGCCTGCTGATTCCAACTATTCAAACTTCCGTGAACACCATTCAGACTGTTATGCACTCCTTTAATTCGCTCATTGGCGTCAACAATCTTCTTAACATTGTTGCTCAATTCAGCGTTAACGTCCAATTTCTTGTAAGCCTCTTCCGCTTTTTCCTGCGCCTTTTGACGGATACCATCCGCCGTGGTGATCCAGTTGGCAAGGCTGGTAACTTGTTGACGAAGCGTTTCATTTGCGGTAACAATTCCTTGTTTAGCCTGTTCAATATTACTAATGTTATGACCAATAATATGATTCTCTTTATCTTTCTGATTAGGATCCAACTTGCCATGGACATCTCTTGCTTTGTCAACCGCTGCGCTGAGGACACTGTTTGCTGCATTTTTCCAGTTACCTAAATCGGTGTGAACAGCTTGAAGCGCGTCATCAACTTGCTTAACTTTATCCTTGGCGTCCCTAATCTGCTTAACCCCCTGACCAATCGGAGTCTTTGGATGACCATTATTATCACTATGATCCAACCTCCCATGTACCTGTTCCGCCTTCACCTTAGCCGCCTGAACGGCGGCGTCCGCAGCCTCAATCCACTGAAAGGAGGGATGAAGGAGGCTGCTTTGGGAGTGACGGCAAGGCGACAGAGGGAGGAGGGAGATGACAAAGCGGCGAGTAGGTTACATCTTTGGTTATGTGCTAGGTTAGCCTCTTGGTAGTGTACTAGGTAAGCCACTTGGTTATGTACTAGGTCAGCCGTTTGGCTAAGCATTAGGTTAGGTGCTAGGCAAGGCACGAAATAGTCACCATGAGAGACGTGACGTGACATGGAAACACAAAGTGAGGAATGTAAATGTGAATGTAGCTGAGATAATTACTGTCATTAGTTAAGGTCGTCGTCGAAGTAGTCTACGTCGTTGTAGAGCGATAGCATCCTGCGGCTCCCGGCGAGCAGCGCCTTGACGTCGATGAGGTGTGAGGCCCTGGTGGTGAGGAGGTGGGAGCGGATGCGGAGGACGTCCATGCGGTAGAGTAGCGAGTGGGCGATGTAGAGCGTGGCGGTGAGCCAGAGTGCGACGAGGGTGAAGAGGAACGGTGTCCTAATTTCCCAGAGGAACTGGTCGCAGTGGTGGAAGAGGTTGGTGAAGTGCCGGGAGTGGAGGACGTTGGTGAGGAGTTGGGAGAGTTGGGCGCAGGTGTTTGGCGAGTCCTCACGATTCAGCGCCGATGCGTCCCTGAAGGTGAAGCCGTAATTGTACAACGTCGGTGAGACACCGCTGCACTGGACAACGGAGGTGCAGTGGCAACGCGGCGACTCGGTCATGTCATCACAGAGGCCATGCCGCCCTGGCACACAGGTGTCGCCGTGAAGGCACGTACGGCATCCCCAGTCGTGGCAGGAGATACTGCAGAGGGCGCCGTGTAGACGCTCAAGGTGCTGCCACAGCTGCCATGGGAGGTATACGGCCCATGAGAGATAGAGGTCGGAGTGCCTGTGGGCGAGATGGTTGTAGACGTCGTGGCAGAGCGATGAGAGGTATGCGGCGGAGCCCATGTTCCTGCTCTTGCCTGTACAGAAGTTGTGGGTTGCGAGATGCTTGAGGTGGTGGTGCTGGCAGTCTGCGTGGTCGACGGAGCCGGCGCCGTAGGCGTGGGTGAGGGCGGCGACAAGGCCACCGGTCTTGTAGAGGCCGAGTGACAGGCTGTTGGTGGAGGCACCAAAGGCGTCAGCAAGCGTCTCGTGGTTAGGCCTTCTGTCTGGGATGCGGATGTTGGTGCCCGCCGCGAGTGACAAGGCAAAGCCGAAGTGCTCCGGCAGTGAGATCGGCGGCCTGGGTAGCAGTGTGAAGATGCACGTAACATGGTCGTTACACAGGAATTTGGTCAGCGCCTTGCACAGCTGCTTGCCCGTCTTGGTGCTGCCCGAGAAACCCCGGAAGCCGAGTGGCGTGAGGCAGGGCATCCCATCTGCTCCACTGGGGCACGTCTGACATACAGGCTCACAGCCAACGGAGACCAACTGGTGAGGCAGATGTCCGGGCAAACAGTCGTTCAGATAGGACATCAACGGCGATTTATCAGTGCACTCCGGGTGAGGGCTAGGCAGGGCGGTAACCGGAGGAGCGCATTGCCACGTATATGGTGTGACGTTCTTGCCGTACTTACACTGCGCCCAGCCGTGATGTCTGGCGCCGAGGCCGCACCGGGCTGAGAGGAACTTGAGGGGCGGGAAGAGTCTACGCAGTATATCAAGCAGCAGGTGAAAGCACTCCTCGCCGTCGGTGGGATATTGTAGTTTGCATGAGTTGTTAGGGAAGTCGGAGGCGTAGACGGTGTGGGCGTCGCCGGTGCCGAGTATGCAAACAAGGAGGTAATATGATTGCGATGTCATGTGGTCGAGCAGAAACAACATGTTGCCGGCGCTGAAGGCTGTTGGCGCGGCTAGGGTGTACGGGTTCGTTTCGCCAGACTGAGCGTCTTCTGTCTCTACTGCGGCTCTAACGTGCCGCTTGAGTGCATCGTACGCGCGGCTGTGGCGGAGGCCGGAGAGCCACACGAGCATCTCGTACACGGAGCACGGTGGTTTGGGTGACTGCGGTACATTGAGATGGCAGCAAACATAATATTCATTGAGGTGTTGGATGAGGCAATTAATGATGTCGATGACATGGAAGTCCGAAGTCTTCAGCTTCGCATTCGAGGCACACTGCTGGAGGTGACGGTCGTCGTCTGCGCCGCTGACAGGCGCCTTGAGGAGCTGGGAAATCTCTGTGGCCGCGCAGTCATTTCTGAGTTCGGCGGTCTGCGCGGCGTCATCATCGGCCACCCTGTAGCCGCAGTTGTGGAGGCAACTGCCGAGGGGATTGTCCTTTTGATCATGGGTCTGTAGAGCGATTCTGTGATTTCCCCAGTCACGTTCGCATCTATCTACCAGGTGATTGAGATCATCGTGCATAATAGTAATAATCGTGAGCAACACCTTGGCGCACTTCTTTCCGTAGGGCGTCAGGTGGCCTACATTTTCTACGGTGACGGCAATTGCGCCCGGAGCTTCTCTGGCCTCGGTGACAGCGTCACTTCTGGCCAGGGCACACTCAAACGTCTGACCGTCATAAGCGCTTATGTACACGTTTCGCAGCTCTGAGACAAGGCCCCGAAGCCCATTCACCACGCCGTCCAGCACCTGGGTGCTTGGTCTGCCGAACGCCTCAGGCCGCAGCTGCGACGCTGCCGAGTCCAGTTTATCAAGTAGTCCGGGAACCTCATGGTCGTACCTTTGCTGCTGAGTCAAGTGGCTGAGTAAGGCTGTTAGCGCTGCGTGAACGTCATTAAGTCTGTCAGCGTAGTGATCTTGTGCCTTGGGAAGCGACGGATTTTTCTTGGCATTTTCTTCCTCATGGACCCTCTTGATCTCTGTGGCGACGTACAACATTAGCCTCCCGAAGAAGACACCAAACATGTAAGACAGATCACGGACGCCGGTGGCGCTGTCTTCATCGGCAAGCAAATTTATGTTTTTACCGCCCTTCCCTTCAGCCTGACTCATGAAGCCTTTGAAGCCTATCTCCAAGTCACTCTCAATTGCACGCGGCAGCCCTTTGAGCTCGGCGGCCACTGTATTGGCGAAGAATGTCAGAGCACTCTGCACACTGGAGACGTAATGCCTGCGCTCGTGTTCAGTCAGCTCGGCGGCCACACCGTCCAGTTCCCTGCTCACGAACGCCGTTAGCTCCTTGATGGTCTCGTTCCGCAGTCTGTCTGCGTACTCATCAAACGCCGCGAGTGATTTTATGACGCTACCCAAGTCCCATGTGCGCAGCCTATGAAGCTCATCGTGGATTTCCTGCAGGGACTTACCGTCGGACGCCGTGGCGCCAAGATTCTTGAAAAGCATCTCACTTACGAATTGTTGCAATTTCCTTTGCACGGCCTCCGTCGTCTCTTTTATGCGGTAAGTGAGAATGCCAACATGATCCTTGATGTTGTCGGAGACCTTTTGAAGCCCACTCGTTATGTGGTCTACGCTGATTGCGTTGGCGTAGTCTGAAATGCCCGTGAACGCCGTGTCAATTTCCTCCTTGATTTTAGCGAGGCCACTGACATCTTTTGTGTCGTCCGTCCAGTCGGCTCCGCCGTCCTCGAGGCCATTTCCTCTCAATTTCGTCAGCTTTTCGGTGACTTCACTTTTCAAAGCATCTCTTTGTTTTTGAAGTTCCTCCTTAATTGCCTCGTTGGCTTCCTGGATGGCTTGTGGATGCGTATTAAACGGTTTTTCTTGGAGCTCACTGATCTCCTTTTGAATCTTTTCAAGGCCTATCTTTTGACACTTGCCGATCTTCACTCCCAACAACCGTAACTGATCCATGACATCGTCGTAATCTAGGGGCATATCCAACTTTATTCCAATATGTGTAAGTTCCCACCTAATTTTATTTAGAGCTCTGTCAATATCATCGCATTTTTCTTTTAAGGTTGTATTTTGTTCATTAATCTCTTTTTTAATATTCTCAAATCCCTTGGAGTTTTTACCATTACCATCCCAGTTTACACCACCATCCTTAAGCCCCTTGGTTTTCAACTCCGTCAACTTCTCGGTGACATTATTCTGCAAATCACCTTGAAGGCCTGTAAGCGTCGAGCTTATAACTTTTACGGATTCTACAATTGTTTGCGGATTTTGAGTAAACGGAGTGTCATGAAGCTTTTTGATGTCCACATGGATTTTCCCGAGGCCGTCGACTGTGACACCATTTTGAGTCGGCTGCCATTTTTCATTTTCCTTTTCACCAAGCCCCTTGTTTTGCATATCTTTCAACCTGTTTATAACATCATCTTTATTATTGCTAGTCGGATTTTGCAGCGTAGTTCTGAGAGTGCCAAGTTGCGTCTTAATTTGCTCGACGGCTTTGCCAATTTCAGCGGGTTTAGTGCCAAGCGTCCCTGTTTGCAGGCCGTGGATCTTGGAGTGAATTGCCTCGAGACCGTTGACAGTATCTTTAGTAATTCCATCTACTTTGCCTTTAAGATTAATCTCTTCCTCCTCAAGCATCGTATCCAAATCACTCAAGCGCTGCTTGATGCCATCTTGGTCCGTGGGCTGGGGCAGCGTCTTTTTCTTGCTGCTGTCAACACGCTCGGCGATTTCTTGGAGTTCCTTTTCGATTGTGGAGAGATGTTCTTGGACTGCATTTTTAGCCTTTTATACTTTTCCTGCCTTAAGTTCAGATTGTTCTTGACTGAATCCACCCATCTGCTTGAAGGGCTCCAGCGCCTGGGGGATATCTTGTTCAGTTAGCTTTTTGTACTTGCCGTCTGCATCTGCTTGCGCAGTTTTCTTCCCTTTATAGGACGTCATTATATGCGATTCAAACTTTTGCGTAATTTCATCCGCTTTTGCAGGAATAACGCTATTAACCTGCGTCTCAATCCCCTGAACGCTCTGCAGAATGTTATTGGGGCCTTGGCTGCGGGGGGTGGGAGGGTCTCGGCCGTTTGCCGCGGTATGCGCCGCTCCGAGATTCTCGTGAAGCTCATCAGTAACCTCCTTGGTTTTGTCCAAGATGTCTGCGATGTTTCCATTTTCGGGACTGAGGAACACTGAGTGAAGCTCCTTGCCAACCTGCCGGCCCACCGAGGACACGGCAAGCAGTGTGGTGGCGACGGCCTGCGTAAGGATGCATTTTGGGTCTTCGCAGTCTAGACACCTATCTGGATCTCTGCCGCTGCAGTTTCCGCAGTTGCATTTTGCCTTCTGTATGATACTTTGTAAGTGACCTTTTTTGCTCAGTTCCTGATCGTCAACTTTCTTCATCGCCTCCTTAGCCTGCTTGACCATCGCAAGGACACCAGTTGTAAAGTCCTTCTCTAGTTTCTCCTTATCAAGCTGCTTGGCAAACAGTTCGCATGCCCTTTTGACCTGTGTGATTTTGTCTTTAATGCTGTCGGTAGCAGTGGATTGTGTATATTTGAACACGGCAACCGCTGCGTTAATTTCCTTTTCAAGCGGAGACTTAATTGAGCCTCCGATACCACTGTCATGAAGCTCCTTCTTAAGCTCCTCCGCCTGCCTACCCTGCCAGCCAAGCAGCTTTTTAACCACACCGTTGTGCTGCAGAATGTCATCGATCCAACCGCCGACTATTTGGCCAAACGGCCACGCCTCGCTGAACGCTTTGAAATAACTCTGCACTTTTGTATTAATCCCCTCCAGGCCTGAGCCCTGTTCTGTCCATTGACCATTGTCTCCTATGCTTCCTTCCTTCCCCTTAATCTCTCCCACTTTCTGCTTAATTTCACCAAGCATGCCACCAACATGGCTCTTCATCTTCTGCACAATACTCCCTTGCAGCCTCACCAAATCGCTTTTCATGCCTTCTTCCAAATCTTTAACGGCGTCTTTAACTTGCTGTTCCAAATTGTCCACTTTAGGCTTCGCCTGTCTGTAAGCCTCCAAAAGGTCCGTGGCTTTTTTCTGCAGTGCGGCGGCTTGCTGTTTAATTACAGGGTCGCCATTCTTTATCTCAGTTTTTGTAAGTATCTCATCACATTTATTTTGCCCAGCTTGGACGATTTTCTCAGCCGCAGTCTTCCACTCATTCAGGTGGGAGACTTCAGTTTGAAGATCTTTATTCGCAGTGTCAATTGCCTTTTGAGCGGCGTCAATTGTACTAATATTTGTGCCAATAACATTTTTATCGGCAGGTCCATTCTTCTCAGGATTCAACTTCTCATGAACCTCTTCCGCCTTCTCCACAGCTTTCTTAATGACACTCTCAGCCTCTCCCTTCCAGCTGTCCAAGCTCCCAAGATGGGTGCCAAGCCTTTCTTTAGCCTCGTCAAGTGCTTTTTTTGCTTCGGTAATTTTATCAATATTATAGCCAATGGGATACTTGCTATCCTTATGATGAGGATTCAACTTCTCTTTCACACTTTTAGAACTGTCAATCACCTCTCCAAGCAGAGTCTCCGCCGCGCCTTTCCAGGATACCAATTCAGTTACACGTTGGCCGAGATTTTTATTGACGCTTTTTATTACATTATTGGCTTCCAAAATCTTCTCAACATTCTTATGCAGAGTCTTGTTAACGTCCAACTTGTCGTAGGCTTCCTTGGCTTTAGCCTCAGCTTTACTACGGATCCCCTCAGCGGAAGTGATCCAAGTATTTAACATAGTAACTTCTTGGAGAAGAATGTTGTTAGCAGTGTGAAATACGCAAAGGTTGCGACCAATAATATGTCCATCATGCTCCACCTGCAGAGTAGGATGACGGCAGTCAGCTGCCGAGGTGGACGGCCAAGGCGGCAAGCAAGGGGCAAGTCTGGGCAGAGAGTACAGTGTAGGTTACATCTTAGGTTAGCTGTTTGGTCAGCCGTTTGGTTATGTGCTAGGTTAGTCTTTTGGTTATGTGCTAGGTGAGGTGCTTGGTTAGGTGGTTAGTGCCAACATAGGTCAACGAGGGACAGGCCACATCACAACACAACAAGAAGCAAATGATAACACAGTATGTCTAAATGTGAATGCGAATGTAGCTACGGTAATTACTGTCACGTGCCAAAGTCATCGTCGAAGTAGTCGACGTCCTTGTAGAGTGAGAGCATCCTGCGGCTTCCGGCGAGCAGCGCCTTGACGTCGATGAGGTGGGAGGCCCTGGTGGTGAGGAGGTGGGAGCGGATGCGCAGGACGTCCATGCGGTAGAGGAGTGAGTGGATAATGTAGAGCGCGGCGATGAGCCAGAGCGTGATGATGGTGTAGAGGAAGGGGGCACGGATGCCGTAGAGGAGAGCGTCCATGGCGGTCATGAGCCTGACGATAGGCTTTCCGGCGACCACCTGCTCCAGCTTGGTGATGACAGCCGAACATGTGAATGACGACTGCAGTGCCCCGTCTGGCAGCGTGAACCCGTGAGCGTAGAGGAGTGGCAGGGCCTTGTCACACTGGTGGAGGGGCTTGAGCTCGAAACATTGAAGCTTCTCGAGGTCATAGTGCAGCCTGATCAGTGACTCCCACAGTCTGTCTGGCAGGTAAACCATCCAGCTGAGGTAGTCGTGGGCGAAGCTCGGGGAGTACAGGGCGTAGGCCCGGTAGGTGATGGGAGAGAGAAGTCGTGTGCAGTTGGCATTATCGATGTTGCAGCCAAGAAGCGTGGACAGGGTCTTGTGATGGTCCTTGTCGTGAATGGAGTTGGGAGGGGCGGAGCCCCGGAGGTCCTGGACTGCATTGAGGTCGTCGGCAGCAAGAGAGTCCCAGCCGGGGCAGTCGTCATGTGCAGTGGAGAGGGCGGATCCCAGTGGAGATGATTGATGCAGTGAATTGGCGAAGAGGTGGAAGAAAGAGACGAGCTCCCCGGTGGTGCGCGGCGTCCGCCTGGTGAGGCAGTTGAGATGAGAGGACAGCGTCAGCAGGGGATCATCGCCGCCGCGGCTGGGAGAGAGGATGCTGTGGAGATGATTGCCGTTTTGTGATTTCTCAGGTAAATCCTTCTCCCTGAATCCCATGTTTACACGGCTCTTGCGGCAGATGTTGCGCGGGTCGAAGGGATGTGTCTCGAACTTGGAGTCCGAGGCGTCAGTCAGGAAGGCCTGGAGGGGAGACATCTTGGCATCACGGCCGTATTGACAATCCTGCCAACCGCCGTCCTTGGTGTTCCGAGAACACTGCGACTTAAGGAACTCCAGCTGGTGGCAGCAGGCGTAGACGTAGTCCCGCAGCTGGCAGAGGAGGGCGCAGCAATCAGGGTCCTTGGACGTCGACGTTGCAGACGACACTGCCGCTCTCCAGTTAGGTGCAACTGAAGATAGCACTGAAGCTGCGAACACGGCGGCAAGGTGGATGGTCTGAAGGACATCTCTGGCGGCGATGCTAGAATCGTTGACTGGGAGTGTGAGTTTGGCAGAGACATCATCGCCGCGCTTGAAAGCCTTCTCAATACACAGTTTCAGAGTCTCTTGGTGCTTCTTGTGCCGCAGTCCTGCGATCCAAATGAGCATATCCCTGACTGTACGCGGCGCCTCGGAGGGGAACAGCTCCGTCTCGGGGATGTCGGTAGAGTCATGTGTTGGCATCTGAGTGATCCAGGGAACAGGGCACATTTCAACTGCATCAGCAGTGTGACTATACTTGGCAGCAGCACTGTCCTGGAGATTATCCGGAGGATCGATTGGCGAAAAGTTTATTATGGCGGCTGCGGAGGACGGGCCTATTGGGTCAAGGGGTTGGACTTCGGGGATAGTTGGAGGGTCATACTCTATGTTTAACTCGTATGAAAGGTCATGAGGTGTATGCTTGGGGACGTCGATGAAAACATCAAAACTTTCAACACGCTCAGTAGCCGGCAGTGGATGACTAATCTGGAAATTATCAGCTCGTAACGTCTTTATATCGTTGTAATGGCTTCTTAATTTGTTTACAACCTTCTCTTGTTTGTTCCATTCGCCTTCTATATGTGCACCAACTGTATTTCGACCGTCTACATACAACTTCTCATAGGTCGGATTGTTTCGGGACGTATCTATGACTACACTGCCGTCGAACGTCGACGGCTCCCGCTGCACAAAGGTAATAGGCGCTTTATTTTGAACATCAAACCCGAGTAAGTTGTCACCTTGCATTTCATTTAGTAATAATTTTCGTTGCCGCTCTTTCAATTGTTCATCCGATTTTTGTTTCCATTTGTCATTAGTGTCTGCATTATCTTTCAGAACTCTACCTTCCACTTCGCTTGCGCGGTAGGCATACTTAAGTGGATGCCCCGACACAGGCCCCGATTGCAACTGCACACTTTCAATTTGACGTTGCATGTCATCTAGATATGCTTTCCGCTTCACTCCTTTCCATTCTTCCTCAGCATCCTTCGGTTTCTGTACCCACTCTTTTGCAATTTGGAGAAGTTTACGTTGCTCGAGTTTATCCTTGTAGGACTGATACTGATCCAAATTTCGACGAGTCGCTTCGTATTGCTCTTGCATACTCCGTTTCCTCGGTGAGTCTTGTGGCAACGCACTGCCGACTACCGGATTTAACGTATACAAATAGTTATCTACGAACGGTGGTGGATGGTGTATCGTATCAATAGCTCTGCCATCGATATCTTGCTGTGAAGCTTGCACTTTTTGTATAAAATTTTCTTCATCCTTTTGGCCATCATCCAACTTCTGTTGCCATTCCTTTCCCCTTATAAACAAATTTTTATGTACGCAATACGTTTTGCCGTTGAAGGAAATCTTTTCAACATTGGGGCCAGAACACTGATCTGTGTTTCGTCGAATTTGATTAGACCCCGGCCCACTCCCACCGCTTGGTCCTCCACCAGACGCCGTGGCAACCGACGTAGTACCGACGTTGCTTGGAGTTTTACCGGAGGCTTGACTTGTAGTTTGAGTAACATGTTGACCACCATGTGGATCAGCCCCTCCACCACCAGTTGACCCAGTGCCTGAACTTGAAACACTCGGAGGCTGAGGAGGCGCAGGGGCTGGAGTAGAACCAGGAAGTTGCCCTTGAGTGTCAACGGACGTTGAACTCTGACCCTTTACAGTTGGCTGACTCGTGGAGCCAGCGCCTCCAGAAAGAGTGGGAGGCCCTGCCAGGCCTGGAGCTCCAGTTGGAGTAGAAGCTGCAACAGTGTTGGCCGATGAAGTTGGTGACTGAGTAGACCCTGGAGGGCCTTGACCACCAGTAGGCCCTTGTTGGCCTGGAGCCCCTTCAGACCCTGGCGGCCCTTTCTCTCCGGCAGCTCCCGGCTGACCTTGACCTCCTGGACCACTGGGAGACGGACCTGGAGCAAGAGACTTTACATCTTGTGAACCTGGGATATTTCGTCCACTTTGACAAGTATCTTGATTTTGATTCCCCTCCGCTTTCTTACCCTGGTTCTGTGCTCCCTCAGCTTTCTTCCCCTGGTTCTGTGCTCCCTCACCCTTCTTGCCTTGGTTCTGTGCTCCCTCGGTTTTAGTGTCTTGATTTGGAGTTGAGTCACTTTTAGTGGCAGTAGGCTTCGCCGCCTCGGCCTTGGTGACCACAGGTTTTGCGGGCTCTGGTTTGGGAAGTGCAACAATCTTTCCATCCTCCTGCAACACTTCATCCGGAGGCTCCTCTTCTTCCTCTTCATCTATTTCTTCAGGTTGATCATTTTCAGGTTGTTGTTCACCATCTTGATTTTGATTTCCATTTCGCCTTTGTTTCCTTTCTTGCTCTTCTGCTTTACACTTCTCACCATTCAGAATATCCACAAGCTTTTCCAATCCTCCACCGCTGCTTTTAAGCTCACGGATTGCAGTGTCCCACTCATTTTTCAAAAGATCATACGGAGCATTTTTGTTGTACTGGTGACCATAAAACGTGAACCCGTAGCGAATGAAGTTGTTGATGAAATAATTTTGAAGGGCCGTTATATCAGCTTGCTTCAGGGCACTTCCCTTCTTAAGCTTCTTAAGCTCTCTTACATCACTAAAAGCCTTAATATTTTCCACAGTATCTTTCACTTTACCCAAATGCTGTTGAAACCAGCTGGCCATCTTCTTGGCGATATCTTGGTGTTTAAGGAATTCATCTTCCCGCGCATACCCGGTGAAAGAAAATCGGTTAGCGGTGAAAACTTTTTTAAGAGACTCATTAAGTTTATTGCAATGGTCTTTTAATTTTTGCCAATCAATGCATTTGTCTTTCGAGTATAAATGCATTTTAAAATCGTGCTCGTTCGTTTCTGTTCCAAATATCCTGCAAAAATCTTGCACCAACCGAAGAGCGTTGGCAACGTTCGCAGCGTCGTCGCCGGAATTTGGCGGAATTACTGTTGTGGCAAAAACGTCGAGGAAATAATTTTGCACATTATCTTGCTTGTTCAAAATACTTTGAAGGTCACCTGCCATAAGAGAAGCTTCGGAATAACCCTGACGATGACCCATTTTCAAGTCACTTGCATCGAAGCCTCCGGGGATGACGCCGTACTGGTTATCGTGGGATTTAGCAATGAGGTACCTATCGATTTCTTTGGCTAAAGACATATGCAGTGCAACCCCTCCAACCATATCACCAGCCCACCCTCCTCCACCCATTGCTTTGAAACCTTCATCCACCTGGTACCGCAGAAAGTACACGGCGGCGAGCAGTCTGGGAATACATTCTAAAAGAGCGTTGAGGACAGTTTTGGTTTTTCTTTCGCCGTCATATTTAGGCTGTGGAGATTTGCATATTTTAGTGTGAAATGTATGTACACTGTTAAGGAAAGTGGAGAGTGCGTTTTCAATTCGTGACGGATTAACGTCTTCGTATTTGCCTTTAAGAAAATTTTCAAGCCGATGACCCACCAAGCCTGTCATAATTTTCCCCAGCTTGTCACTATGCAGCCACTCCAGGAACATGAGACACTCCTTGAGAGTGTCAAGCGGAATGCCGTGCTTCGTCATCTTGATTACGAAGGCACTAAGCACAAAGACACTAATAAATGGGCACTAGGCTAATGGTACAAAAGTGCAAGTGACAGCATTTAAATGGTTAACCAGGAGACACTGAAGTGATAACACGTCTAAGGTGAAGTCACTGCTTCCAGTTAACCAAGACACTCCCAAGTTGCTGGCAACGCTTTTAATTGCGGTGTTAATAGGTGCCTCAGTGAAGCTTTTAGTAGCGATTAGTGAGTTATTTTATAGGCGCAAGATGGGCGTGGTATGAGGCATCCGCAGTCGCAATCCACCGACAAGGTGGGACGGAGGGGGCTTCTTTGGGAGTGACGGCAAGGCGACAAATGGGCAAGGGAGATGACAAAGCAGCGAGTAGGTTACATCTTTGGTTAGGTGCTAGGTAAGCCGTTTGGTCAGCCGTTTGGTTAGGCAGTGAGTTAGGTGCTAGGCAAGGCACGAGTTAAAGTCACGATGAAAGACGTGACACGGCAACACAGGAATGCAATGTAAATGTGAATGTAGCTACGATAATTACTGTCATGAGTGAAAGTCATCGTCGAAGTAGTCGACGTCCTTGTAGAGTGAGAGCATCCTGCGGCTGCCGGCGAGCAGAGCCTTGACGTCGATGAGGTGTGAGGCCCTGGTGGTGAGCAGGTGTGAGTGGATGCGCAATAAGTCCAGGCGGTAGAGGAGTGCGCTGAGGATGTAGAGCGTGGCGAGGAGCCAGAGTGCGATGATGGCGCAGAGGAAGGGCATCCTGATGCGATATAGGAACTGGTCACACTGGTCGAACAGTTCCGTGAAGTGGTCGGAGTGTAGGACTTGGCTGAGCTGCTTGGCGAGGGTGGAACAATTCTTGTTCTGCGATATCAGAGCCGGTGCGTCCTTGAAGGTGAGGCTGTGTTGGTAGAGCGTCGGCATCACGCCTCTGCAGTGGACTGTGGAGCGGCAGCGGCAGCCGGAGGCAGGCGACTGTGGACTGAGGACGCCGTGACTGCCACGGTCACAAGGGTCCTCGTGAAGGCAATCACCGCAGCCCCAGTCCCGGCAGGAGATATTGCAGAAGGCGGTGTACAGACACAGCAACAGATCATAGAAATTCCACGGGAGGTAGACGGCCCATGAGAGGTAGAGGTCGGAGTGCCTGTGAGCCAAGTAATGATATGGATCAAAGCATAGGGTAGACAGGTAGGGTGCGCAGTGGGCAGCGTCGCCTAAACACGCCGGATCCATCGAGAGACTTGACAACTGGGCGGGTTTCGGGTCACCGCTCGTATGACTATGGTTGCTCAAACTGCTGCCATAGGCATTACTCAAGGCATTGGTGAGATCGTTAGTATTTGTATAGAGACCCATGGAGACGTCGGTAATAGACGTTCGAAAGCACTCTTGAAATGAATTTTGTGAAGCATCACGCCACTCCCGAACTAGCGAAAATGCAAAACCAAAGTGCTCAGCCAGCGTGGCCGGCGGTGTGGGACAGAGGCTGAGCAGCGATTTTATATGGACGTTGGCGAGCAATTTGGTGAGCACCGCACACAGATGTTTGCCCGTCTTCGTGCTTCCTGAAAATGTGCGGAAGCCGAGCGGAGTCAGACATGGCATCCCAGGTTGAGAGGTGGGACACGTGTTGCATTTAGGCTCACAGCCTATGGCGATGACCTGGTGAGGCAAGAGGCCGGGCAGGCAGTCGTTTAGGTATGACATTAGAGGGGACTTATCGGAGCACTCCGGGTGAGGGTTAGGCAGGCCGTTGAGCGGTGGATTGCACTGCCACGTGTACGGAGTGGCACCCTTGCCGTACTTGCAGTCTGCCCAGCCGCCGTGGTGGGCGGGGAGTGAGCACTGAGAGAACAGATATCTGAGCACTGAGAGCAATCTACAGAGGATATGAAGCAGCAAGTGAAGACACTCCTCGCCGTCCTGCGGGTAATACAGTTTCGTGGAGTTGTTGTAAAAGTCACAGGCGTAGGTTGAGTAAGCGTCGCCGTAGCCGAGCACCCTGGTGAGGATGCTGGGACAGTGGGCGGTGAGCCTGTCAATGGCGGAAACTAAAGCGTCGGCGGTAATCGTAGTGGGATACAGGCTATTCTCAGTCTGCTCGTCGTAACACAGCTTGGTGAATTTACAGAGCTTATCATAGACACAGTTGTGCGGGAGGCCCGTCAGCCAGCAGAGCATCTCGTAGACTGAGCGTGGCGTCCTGGTGGCAGATAAAGTGGCGTAGTGGCACGCCTTGTAATAATCATTGAGAGATTCTACGAGGACTCCGAGCGCATTTTTGGTGTCCTTATCAGAGTTGAAGACACGTTCGAAATCGCCGACGAGGAGCATGGTAATTCCTCTACCGGTCACGTGGCTATTCAGCTCGCCGTCCTGCTTGCCGTCGTCTGGAACTCTGTAGCCCATCTCGCCTAGGAGCCTGCCTAGGTCCGTAGATCTGTTGAGATGCTGTCCGGCGAGGCTCTTGCAGTTGTGTTTCAACACGGCGAATGAAGTCTCAAGTATCGGTAGCAGAGTGAGAAAGACCTTAGAGAGTTTCCCGCCGTAAGGCGTCAATTTGCTGTTTTGCCAGGATATCAGGTCGGTACTTTGCGCAGCGTTTTTGCCGGCACTCTCAGGCTCCACCAACGCAGCAGTGAATTCCTGGCCAGAGTAAGTGCTTATATAGGCGTTGCCCAGTTCAACATGTATGTTATTAATACCGTTTTTCAGCGGACGTAATAAAGCTCTCTGACCGTCATTATACGCATCATAGGTGAATGCTCCGAGTTGCTTTTTGAGTTTTTCAAGTGGCACTGTGAGGGGGAAATCGAAATGGCCGGCCGCTTCAATGTGCTGAATTAGATTGTCGAACGCGTCGATGAACGACACAAATTGCAACATATTCTCCGGCATGGACTCCAAAGCCTCAACTTGTTCGTCCGTCAGGCTCTGAGATGTGTCAGATTTTGCCGGCTTTGGGAACTTACCATTTAAAAATTCCTCCTGTTGCATGAGTTCGGGGAAAAACCCATGTACGGATGCACTGATTTTTTCAGCCACCTGGCTCAGCGGAGACCTATTTTTAAAGTCCCTAAAATCAATGCCCTTAATTCCTTCGATGTTCTTAACAAACCCATTTTCTAATTTGGCCATGAACCCTTTAAATCCGATCGCCAAGTCATGTGCGATGTCCTTGGGCAGCTCCCCCAGCTCCCCGGCCACCTTGTCGGCGAAGTGTTTTAATGCGTCCTTCGCGGACTCCACGTACTGCCGCCGCGCCTGCTTGCTGAGCTCCGCGATTGCCTTTTCAATCTCACTGTCTACGAAGCGTTCAATGTTTTCTACTTTCTCCCATTTTATGTAATCGGCGTCGGTGAGGAACTTGTCGCACATGGCGATGGCCGCCTGGAGGTCACCGGTGCGGAGGGTGTCAATTTGTGTCTTGATTTTTGCGAGGTCTTTGTCGATGTTATTTTTTTTGAAAAGCCCCAACTGCCAGTCGACACTGCCGGCTTCGCTCGCAATCTTGGCGCACAGTTCACCGAGATGTTCGTTGACCTTGGGGACTGTGTCCCTATTGAGCTCTTCAATGTCTTTCTTAATTTTTTCAAGACCTTCATTTTTGCCTTCTCCAATTTTCTCTTCCAGATGTTTTAAGTTATTAATGACACCTTTTTCTTTTGGCTCAGTGTCATCCTTACCCTGCAACTCACTCCTCAGCTCGTCAATCTCATTGGTGATTTGGGTAACGCCACTGCCGATTGCAGTGGGTTGTTGTTCCAGCGTACTTTGTTGAGTGTTGAGCTCACTAATAATATGGTCAAAGCCCTTTGCTGCTTCCTGTCCACTAGGCTTCCAACTTGCCTGATTACTCAGCCCATTGGTCATCAAGTCGTTCAATGTTGTAATGACGTCGTTGTCCAGCGTGCTCATCTGCGCTTTGAGTGCCACTTTGATTGCCTCGTTGGCTTGGTGGATGGCTTGTGGTTTGTATGTAAACGCACTGATTTGTTGCCAGTTAATTTCCTCGCAAATCTTCACCAGATTGTTATGGTATCCATCTTTACTTTTGCCGATCATTTTTGCCAGCTTCACCAACTGGTCCACCACGTCGTCATCTACTAGGTCATGATGCAATTTGAATCCGACATCCCTTAACGCATCATTTATTTGTTGCTTGACTATATTAATCGTATCATCGATGATTTTTGTCTGCTTCGGCAACTTATCATTCTCCCTCTTGAGGTCCTCGTAGATCCTCCCAAGGCCGTTAAGCGTTTTGCTGTCCGCCGGCCAAGCGTTGAAAAATTTACTCAGACCGCTGTCCTTCAAGTCTGTCAACACGTTGATGACGCCAGTATTATCATTGTCTTTCTTCAATTTCTCTCTTAGCTCCTTAACCTCCCCTTTAATTGCTCTCACGGCGTAATCGATGTCAATGGGCTTGTTAGTCAAATTCACATTTTGCAGATGACGAATGTTCTGCGCTATTTTAGCGAGGCCTTGGACCGGTATACCAACTGGTTTCCATTCTTCTGAATTAAGGCCATCTTTAAGATACCCTAGATAAATTTTAATCCCCTTATTGTCATTTGTAGACCATGCATCTTGGCCATCCTCACCAGCAACCAATTTCTTGATCTCTCCAAGCTGCTTATTTATTGCGGTTACGGGAGCTTCAAATGTCTGCTTGGTGATTTTCTTTGGGTCTGTACCGCCACTTGGACTGTCATCGATGAGTTCAGTGAGATCTTTCAGACCGTCACTGCTAATGCTGCTGATCGCAACGGGGAGTTGGCCATCTAGGCTATCAGGGTTATTGGGGTCAAAGGTCTTAACGCTTTCTTGTTCAACGTGATTATTGTAATTATTAAACATTGTAGTTTTAAGCTCAGTAATTTTACCGCCCGGCTGGCCATCATCCTGGCCAATGTGCTCTTCAACTTGCTTACTAAGTTCACTGTCGAGATTTTTTGTAATAGCAGTGAAGTGAGAGTTGAATGTGGGCATTTTAGTCGACAAGTCAATAGCACTTGCATCAACATTACTGCCATCAGCAACTATGTCAGCCGCCTTGGTGATGGCCGTCGTGGCGGCAGCCCTGATCTGCTGCTTGGCTTGGTCTTCGAAGTGTTCAACGGCGTCGGGAAGCTTTTCGACTTCCCTAGTAAGATCACCAATTACATCTTTCTTAAACCTGCTGGTAATATTATCACCATTTTGCCCTGCTCCACTTCCCTCCACAAAGCTCTTCACCTTGCCGAGCGCAGAGTCCACGGCTTGGGCGGGGCTTTCAGTGGAGGTGGGAGAGGTGAAGGAAAGGATGCTGGGTGGTGAGTTGGGGGTTGTTGGCGTCGGGTGGCGCATTATAGGTCAGGTGAAGGTGGTGGTCGAGGCCATCTGTGGGAGGCGAAAAAGGCGAGGCAGGTGGAGGATGGCTGGCGACAGCCGGAGTGAGGAGGGTGGCGGAACAAGGTCAAGAGGGTAGGAGTGGAGGTGGATAGGGGCGTTGGTAGGCGGGTCAGTGAAGGTGTTGGAGGCGGTTGGAGGGACATTTTGGAGGCGCAAGAGGGGCGTGGTGGGAGGCGTCGGCAGCCGCAATGCACTGAAAGGAGGGATGAAGGAGGGCGTTTGGGAGTGACGGGGAGGCGACAAACGGAGAAGGGAGATGACAAAGCAGCGAGTAGGTTACATCATAGGTTAGGTGATAGGTTACCTGTTAGGTAAGACGTTTGGTTAGGTGGCAAGTTTGGTGTGGCTGCCGTTAAGCATAACCTAAACCTAAACCTTGAAATTGAAGGTGACGCCGGTAGTACTTCTACGTCGAATGTGAGTTTGCTACTGGATGGCTAAGTGGACTGAATGATGCTACTGGTGTCATGTCGTGGAGGTGGCCGGACAGCTGCGGAGAGCAACCTGCGCGGTATTTGTGGAGTCCGGGAGTAAAAGGATGATATGGAGGTGAAGGATGCGGGTACAATGACGCCACGTAATTACAGCAACATTACAAATGTATGCAACCATGTTGTAAGGAATAGTAATTCAATCAATATCCAATGCTAATTGATGTAATCACGCAGCGTATTAATGTTCGCCATTTGAGGAGATAGGTGACGAGGCAAACGATGAGTGCAGCTATGAGGGCAGTGACTACTGTATTACCGGCCGCCACAATGTGGTCATAGATGCCGCTTGACTAGGCTGTACAATGGCCGTCACAACGATTTCACTGCCTGCGAACGCACATGGTAACGGACGTGTGAGACACTCGCCCGGCACAGCGGTGGGGAGATAGCAAGCAGTCATCTTCACGGTGTTTTGAAATTAGGCAACAGCGTGGACACGTTCACGGGTGGCGTGTGAAACAACGAATATACCAACGCGTCTACTAAATTATGGGTTAGGTTTTAGGTTGGACATCAGGTTAGTCAGTGAGTTGGGTGCTAGGCAAGGCGGGACATACAGTCACGATGAGAGACGTGATGAGACATGGCAACACAAAGAGATGAATGCAAATGTAGCTACAATAATTACTGTCATGAGTGAAAGTCGTCGTCGAAGTAGTCGACGTCCTTGTAGAGTGAGAGCATTCTCCTGCTGCCGGCGAGCAGCGCCTTGACGTCGACTTGGTGGGAGGCCCTGGTGGTGAGGAGGTGAGATCGTATGCGGAGGACGTCCATGCGGTAGAGGAGTGAGTGGAGGATGTAGAGCGTGGCGGTGAGCCAGAGTGCTGTGATGGCGAAGAGGAAGGGCATACGGATGGTGTAGAGGAGTTGGTCGATCTGGTCGAACAGTTCCGTGAAGTGGTCGGAGTGGAGTGCCTTGGTGAGTTGGTCGTTGAGGTCACTGCACCGTATCTTCTGGCTGCCGGCGAGCAGGGCGTGGGCGTTGCGATACGTGAATCCGTAGCGGTAGAGTGTCGGCAGAGGTCCGCCACATTCGACGAGTGACGGGCAGTGGCAGGAGTCCTTGTCGTTGTGGTTGCTTGGCTGACAGAGGCACGTGGCACAGCCGTGGGCCGTGCAGTCGATGTTGTTCAAGGCGTCCAGCAGGGACTCCAGCAGCTCCCACAGCTGCCATGCCAGCCACACTATCCACGAGACATACAGCTGTGCGTGCTTCTGCGGGAAGGTGTGGTTGGCGTGCAGCGCCAGCGGCTGGAGGAAGGGGGCGCATCCACTGGGTGATTGACAAGGCGGCTCGGCGGAGAGGCTTGAGAGGGCATTGTGCCCTGAGTTGTCATGGTCATGGCCGGCGAGTGCCTTGAGCGCGTTGGTGAGATTGCTGTTCTGGTAACTGCCGTGGAGCTGTGTCCACAGAGGGAACAGCTTGTCGATGGCCTCATCGCTCAGATGCGTTAGGTAACTCTCATGGTGAGAGTACGCACGCCGGGACGATTCGTGGTTCCACATTCTGAGCATTTGGAAGAACAGCGCGAACACGTCGCCGAGTGACTGCGGTGCTGAGGGGCACAGCAAGCGCAGCGTTCGGCAGAGTTGGGAGAGGCACGCGTCGGCGTCACTGCAGAAATAACCAAGGGAGTTGGCAAGATCCTTGCCGGTGCGCTCTACTGAGGCAGCGAGGCCGAGGTCCCAGAAGCCGAGCGGGGTGAGGCACTGCTGGCCGGGTTGATTGGAGGGGCAGTCGGCACATTCGATGGCCATATCAACTGCTCTGAGCTTATGCGGCAGGAGGCCAGAGCAGCTGTCGGTGAGGAAGGACTGCAGCGGCGATGTGGGCGGGCAGTTGTGAGTTGCGTCGGTGGCCTGCCTGTCGAAGGTGTTACACTGCCAGTGGGAGGACGGCACCTGCCGACCGTAGTGGCACTCCCGCCAGCCCTTGGTTGTGGCGGTGGTACGGCAGCACTGAGCATACAGAAAGTAGAGCACTGAGCACAGGCGGCATACTATTCCCCTCATCATCTCCAGCAGCTCGTCGGGGTCGGCCGGGTAGTGGAGCTGTGCGGTGTTGTTGGCGAAGTCGACGGAGTAGGGATAGGCGGCGAGGTCAAAGCCGCGGCCGTGGCCCTGGATTGCGATTAGCAGAGAGTCGGCGTGTGAACACGCTGATGCTATGACATAAGGCAGACTATTAATACACTGTGCCATGACATCGTCGTCCCTGTTGGGGGCATCGTTATCGTCGCACTTGCGGTTGAGCAACGCCCTGCAGTGGTCAGGCAGTTTGTCCGCCACCGGAGTGTACTGCAGGCCTGAGAGCCAAGACAACATGTCCCTCACCGTGCAGGGGTACCTGGGCGATTCGTGTACTTTAAGGTGGCAGACCTGGAGGTAGCGACAAAGCATGTTATAGAAAAGCGCAACTAAGTCTACGACATTAATTCCATTTTCTGCAGGCTTGCCACCGACCAGCATTTTGGTGGTCACGTCGGCAACTGGGGATGCAAGTAGCTCATGAACTGCGCCGCCCGAAAAACGATTTTGCAATTCCCCCACCTGGAGTCCGTCGGTGGGTGACACCTTGAAGCCGCATTTGGTGAGGTAGTTGCCCAGGCCGTTGTCCCTGTCGTCGCCGGTGAGCTTGCATATCTTATAGCTTCGCCAGTTGTTGCCGCATTTCTCTGCCAAGTTGCTAAGCGCCTCGTGCGTCATCGGGATGATGCTCAGCAACACCTTGGCGTACTTGTCGGCGTCAGCCTCCCGGCACTGCGCTCCCGAGTAGCGAGAGACGTACGCACCGCCGAACTCCCCGACGAAGGCACTGAGTCCCCTGCTCACGGAGTCCAGCGTGGGAGTGGAGGGCTTCTGGAAGCCCTGCGGCCTCAGCTGTGTGAGCGCGTCGGTGAGGTTGTGGAGCAGGCCTCGCAGCCTGTCGTCGAAGCCCTGCGTCACGCAGAGGTAATTGAGCAGGGCGTTGACATCGCTGTGCACGGCGTCCCACTCGGCGGCGTAGGGCTCTTCCGACTTCGGCAGTGAGGGATTCTTTTCGTCGTCACTCTGCTTCTTCAGTCTCTCAATCTCCTCACGGAGATACTCGTCGAGCGGCGCGAAGAAATTCTGGAACGCGGAGGACAATGCTCGGAGCATTCTGCTCTGCACGTTCCTTAGCCTATTAATGTTTTCGCTGCGCTCACCCTCCATCTGCTTCATGAAGCCCTTGAAGCCCACGAAGAGATCCCTGTTTATCTCGCCGGGCAGAGTCTCCAGCTCGCTCTCCGCCTTTAGGGCGAAGTGTTTTAATGCGTCTTTTACGGACTCCACGTACTGCCGCCGCGCCTGCTTGGTGAACGCGGCGATTGCCTTTCAA